TTATCATTGCTACTAATACTACTACTACTACTACTACTACTACTACTCCTGCTACTACTACTGCTACTACTACTGCTACTACTGCTACTACTACTACTACTCCTACTACTACTCCTGCTCCTACTCCTACTTCTACTCCTACTCCTACTCCTACTCCAAACGCAACCTCTCTCTCTCTCTCCCTTGCCTATTCCCTCACCCTCCCATCAGAACTCCTACGCCTACTCCTATTGCAATTTCCACTACCACTACTGCTAGTGCTACTGCTACTGCTAGTCCTGCTGGTACTACTGTGAGTTTTCCGGACCGTTTCCGGACCGCGCAAGCTTATTTTGCTTCCAAATTTGAAATCGAATGCGTTCACGCATGGATCCTTACTCCCACTACTAGATTTGCTACTACTCTTAGTACTACCACCACCCCCGCTGCTACTGCACCACCACTACCACTAGTACACCTAGGAATTTCTGCTCTTGCTTTTAAATCCAATTGACACGAGTTCCGCTGAAGGGTCAGAAACGAGTCAGAAACGAGTCAGAAACCAGTCAGAAACCCGTCAGAAACCGGTCAAACGCAACCATCTGTTTCCCCCTCCCTCCCTCTCTCTCTCTCTTTCTCTCGTTCCCTCCCTCTCCCTTTCTTCCCTTGCCCTGCTACTAGAACTCCTTCTCCTATTCCTACTCCTACTCCTACTCCTACCCTTACCCCTCCTACTACTACTACTACTACTACTACTACTACTACTACTACCCTCCCTCTCCCTTTCTTCCCTTGCCCTGCTACTAGAACTCCTTCTCCTATTCCTACTCCTACTCCTACTCCTACCCTTACCCCTCCTACTACTACTACTACTACTACTACTACTACTACTACTACTACTACTACTACTATCTACTACTACTATCTACTACTACTATCTACTACTACTATCTACTACTACTATCTACTACTACTATCTACTACTACTACTATCTACTACTACTACTATCTACTACTACTACTATCTACTACTACTACTACTACTACTACTACTATCTACTATCTACTATCTACTATCTACTATCTACTACTACTACTACTACTACTACTACGACTAGTACTACTAGTACTACTAGTACTACTAGTACTACTACTACTACTACTACTGCTGCTGGTACTACTGTGAGTTTTCCGGACCGTTTCCGGACCGCGCGAGCTTATTTTGTTCCCAAATTTGAAATCGAATGCGTTCACGCATGGATCCTCATTATATAATACATAACTTATATTTTATGTATATGATCTGATCAACGAAGAACAAACCCTTCCGCGATTGCTCACTGTGGTACCGCGGTTGCTACGCGATTGGCTGAGCGATTGAGGGCTGTCCGGGAAAAGGTATTTTGGACAACCCCCAAATGTCGGGGGGCACAATACATGAGGTAATCATATTCTATCATATTCTGACATATATCATATATCTATATTTATATATTGGGATTTGCCTCCCCCCACTAACAGTTCAAAACTGCCCACCCTTCAAAAACCAAAAAAAGAAGCAGAATCATATTGATGGTAACTTAGGCTATTTTAGGGGATACTTGCGGTTTTGGAAGGGAACAATGCGAACTAGATGACTTGTATGAGTTACAAAGGGTGGAATCATGAATTGCATGGGTCATTTGTGGTGCACTGTGTAATAAAGGAAATGCTGTTTGGCCATGAACCGTTGGTTGGTTCCACCAACATAACTAGATAATCAAAAATAATGTTGGATCTTGATTAGTGTAGCACCCCCCCAACAATACAGAGGGTATCTCAAACCAAAAAAATGAATCAGCATTGCACTTGTAAAAGGTACGGATCTTAAATTCGTATCAACCTACTTTCAATTGGTTGTTCTTTTAAATCCAAGAGAAAAATCAGGCAGTCTTCAGCCATGATTGAAGCTCTTTCTTGCCAGGTCCCATCGACTGAACATTCGTAGTTCAAGTGATCTGCATCAAATATGTGAACAGGGCTATGACTGCTGAATTCCCGTAACCAACCATAACCAACCGTAATTGCCATTGTTTGGTTGGTAGGGTGGTGATGCTACCAATAGATTGTTTGCCCAGGTTTTGGTGTTTACACTCTTTTCAACTTCTGATGCTTTGTGGGGGCTATCCCAATGTTCATGAAATGTTTGCTACATAAAGTGGCTGGCTACGCTCTGTTTGTTCACTACTATACTTAATTTAAACATGTATATAAATATATCCATTATCATATATTAATATATATATATATAAATACCCTCAGGCCGCCTGGTTCGCCCGTCGCTGCAAACGCTCATGTGGTCTAATATGAATCCCCAGAGAAACCTTTTGGAGTGGTGGAAATCAATGTGTTTGGAACATGTTGGAGGTGGAGCCCCCCAGTTGCGTGGTATTCGCGGTGTGTTGGAGCTTGAACCTTCCATTATTTTGCTTCTTGCAGCATTATTTCAAAACCTCTTATCTGCATGCATTTGCAACAGTTTGTATCAGAAATGTGGATAGCAAAGTGCAACTTCTCATGTGTTTTTCCTATGTTTTCCAGCGCCTAAAAGACATCAAAGAGAGCACGAATAGTTGCAACAGTTATAAAGTCAAGACCCCATTTAAAACATCAAGAACATAAAAACATATGGGTATGGATCAAAATTAGGCACCCCAATAATTGGATGCTTTTATACTAAGTTACTAACTTAAAAATCGACCAAGTCATCTGTGGTAGGGTCTTCAATTTCGACCACTAAAAATAACCCCCCCGTGGTGGCTCGCTCCACAGGATCGTTTGTCCAGCGGAGTGCTTGCGGTGGTCGGCTCCGACAACGTCTTTGCGGCACTGAAGGTCCGATGTTTTTAGGGCACTTCGAAGTGGTACAAAATTACGTTCACTTCATTTAGTTTACATCAAATAGTTTCAATGATGCGTTTTGCTGGTCATGTTTAGGTTGATACTAGTTGCAGTAAACTGCCACAGTAATTAAGTACTGGAATAGATACACCAACATTATGAATAGATATGATAAACTATGATGATCGATTTGTCCATAGTTTGCACCCTTTGATTACGAACGTTTTGCTTCACATGGCCAATTGTTAGACACCATAATTAGACACCATATCATTTTCTCCCCATATTGTCAAACCAGTACTTTACTCACATTGGGAGTACTGTACCATTTATAGGGACCCACCCCAAGATCACTCAGTCAAGGTTGACGTTACTTGGCTGTATCTCCCCCCGCATGGCGTTGATGACGCACTGATAAACCTGGGTCAGACAGGGTCAGCCGTTCACCTAGTGTTTCTTTAATGGGATCCAATGGGTGCCGTGAATGCTGTTTTATATTTATCCAAGCTACAATGACTTTGAAGTTAGGTGAAATAGATAATGAAATACAGAACGCCGTTTTCCTGGCCCGTTTCTTTCATGGCAGGATACTCTGTGTTCCATGGCAGGCACTTAGTAGAAATCAAACATCGTTTGCTGGAGGAATCCACCAAAATCCATCGATGATTTTCCCTCCAAAAAACCGCTGGTTGCCACAAGAAATCTGGTTGGTGGTGACTGGAACATGGCTGGATTATGACTTTCCATATATATATATATATTGGGAATTTCATCATCCCAACTGACAAGTTGTCCATGATTTTTCAGGGGGGTAGGTCAACCACAGAAACAGAAATTGACATGGTCCAGCGGTCTTCCCCAGTCATTTTGTGAGAACGGCTGAAAGGGGTTTTACCATGGGTTTTACCGTCTGGTTCACGATAAGCATTAGCGGGGATGCTTTTTTCCCCTGGACTTTCATATTTCTTTCATGTGGTAGCCCAGGTACTGGCCAGATTGTGGATAGTTATATAGTTGAGTTGTTTTATTCTGTTCATGCTGTTTGGTGCCACAAACATATCCGTTTAGATCATTTACAACCCCATCATTCCTGATTTTCCTAGACTATCATTGGTCAAACATGAGTATCCCTCTCAGTTTTCTTGGTTTTTTCCATGATCATGTTCAACTCTTGGAACATCCCAAAATACCATCCATGGGATTAAACATGGGGAAGCGGAACAACTCTCCAGGATACCGGCGAAGTGGTCGCTTGGGGCTGCGCACCCGTGGCGCGGCAGAGTTGATTTCTGGCGTGATGAATCATTCACGAATGGAAAAATGGGAATATACTGGGCTTGTAATGGGGATATGATGGGAATCGGAATGTGATCACTCATATCCTGAAAGTATATAATTTATATCATGCATGCCCATTTTTGCAAATGCACACAACATCACATCAGGATACTGTTCATGGGTTTGTTTGAAAATAGTCGAGATACCCACAAATAGTTTTTTTTCATGGGCAACATGAGGCATGATAATCCATTGGAAGATCGGGTCCACTATTCTCAGACAAGCCCATACTGGTTGGTGGTTTGGAACATTTTTTATTTGTCCATAATCATGGGATAATCCTTCCCATTGACTAATATTTTTCAAGATGGTTAAAACCACCAACCAGGATATGTTTCTTTTATTTCCACAATAATAATTTTTAGTGGATCCAGTTCAACTGGCGATATACTGTAATGCGGATATAATGGGGATTTGATGGGGATTTGATGGGGATTGAATGCGGATATAGTTGAGATATGATTGTATAATGAATGTATACATATATATATATGTATCATGGTATTTCATGGGATTTCAACAATAGCTATATTTGGGTCTGTTGTATTAACTAGATCTGACCAGAAACTTGGTTTGATTTAACTAGTAGTCAAGGATTGTGGATTGGTTCAAGGGAAAAAATGCAAGAACCATCTATTTGTTTTATGTCAAACCAAAGTAACTCTTAGTATCCTGTACCTGTAGATATTCATTTGACCTCCATTGAGGTTACAAAAATTGATGGCTTGTTTGAACACACAGACCTTCATGATTCATGACCTGATATAGAAAGTCAAATCCTCACAAGAAGTTGGTATAGCAACCCTATATTCCCTTGGTTGCTATAGAATATCATCACTAAAAACCATTGTTTTTTGGGGCTATGATATATCATATGTTTCCTAGCCATGGTAGCAGGCTATCACTGCAGCCTCAGGATGGAGCACACTTGAAAGAGGATGTGCCACTTGGCAAAATCGGCTAAAGCTGGGTTACCCTCTGGTAATTTAACGTAGCTATGGAAAATCACCATTTTTTATGGGAAAATCCACTATAAATAGCCATTTTCAATAGCTATGTTAAATTACCAGAGGGTAGTTGATGACTCGTTCGTCAATTGATAAATATCCAGCCGAAGATGGGATATAAGTCACTGGTACATTAACAGTTCGACCCTGGCAGTCATCGGGTTTGGAAGATTCGTTTACACTAAAAATTGGTGATTTTCAGGGTCTATGTTAATTTACCAGAGGGTAAGTCACTGATGAATCATGAATGATGGTTGAAGATTAGTTTGGGCATACTGAGAAATTTGTTGGGCATTGTCACAATCAACGTGGAATCCCGTGAAACCTAAGCAGATGGCGGTCACACCACCTCCAACCTCAGGGAAAATGGGAGCCAAGGAGCTACATTCATCCCCATGATATCTATCACATCCTTATCCCTATACAAATAATTGGGTTTATACCTTCCATATTTCCCCATGTTTCACCCAATGATATATGCCCAATATCTTTTTCTGATATATCTCATTATTGTATTCCCGAGAATTCATCCTTTCTGCCTGTTAAATTCCATTTTTTTTATTTCTTTACTTGGCAATCTTGGTTTATACCTCCATGACCTAGGCTTTCCGGTAGATCCATCGAAGTACTTCATGGCTTCACAGATGAATTTCACCTTGGCAGCGTTTCGACTCGACTCATTGAGGAAACGGAAGCTGTCGGAGGGTGCGCCCATCAAATCCATCTCCGCAGCCACCACGACCTTCGCCGCCCTCAAGGAGGATGGTGCCACGGCCACGGTGGAGGGTGGAGCGCTTGGAACGAGAGCAGGATCATCCCCAACACGAATCTATGGTGAATCTGTGGCTAATAGTGGCTAAGATATGGCTAAGATATGCTAAGATATGGTTAATCTATGGTTAATAGTGGTTAAGAAATGGTGAACATGGTGAAAATGGTGATATTATTGGTGAATATGGTGAATCCCAAGTGGGAAAAAACATAGTCAGCAACATATTATTATTATTATCATTATTATTTTATTTTTATTTTTTATTTTTTTGTGGGCTATCAAAGATCGACTATGGACAAATTGTGGATTTGTCACACCAAAAACGGCAAGATTTTTGTAGGGAATGCATATGTGATGTTTTTTGGGATTTACACGGTGATATGTCAATTTTCATGTGTAATATGGCACGAATGCAAACGATGATATACCATGGGATAGGGGCCAATAATTCCGTGATTCATAGTACCGGATGTTCAAGGAGTGGATTTAACCAGCACAAATGGCGGATATAATTGGCCAACATTTGTCCAACCATTGAATCGGGATATACAGTAATAGGACGATGCCGACCTCAAATGAACAAACATACCCTCTCCCCTAAACTGAGAAGTGTGTCAGCCCACAATGTATGCAAATATGGTTTCCAACCCAGAAATTTCCAAGTGTCTTCACTAAATGAATGGGTGCTTTGTCTAGCAACAGCAATTGTGATTTTGTTTTTCGCAAGTGCTCCGAAAGCTTTTTTTGATGGACAAAATCACGTCCTTGTATAGCCCACGGTATGGATGTGTGTTTTGCACGCATTTATTGTAACTTGAGTGGAACATATTATGATACACCATGGGATGCAGTGGCGGCATGCCTATTTTTAGCATGTAGCGGTATGGTGGTGTCATATGGGTCTTGTGTATGGGGGACTAATTCCCAGGGCTTCTTGTTTTTTCTATGGGTATGGGTCGAGATATGCCACAAACGCTCGGACCCGAGGGTGGCCCCCAGGTCGGGTAGTGCCCTGGGGTGTGATCGCTGACTTCGGCAACGGCTTTTTGTTGGACAAAGTGGAGGATCAGTTGACCGACGTGGTCTCCGTGCCCAATATGCCCACGGAAAACGTCTGGGGTAGCTGGGGCGGCAGCGAAGTGGGGGTCAACGGGGAAAAACCTCGGGTGATTTGATGTGGGATGTGGATCAGAATTCCGTGCATTTTGTGGGTCCAGTAGTCCAGTGCTATGAGGAAAATAGGGAGTGAACCGATATTGATACAGGATGTTTTGGGAATGCCATTCCATAGACAACAGCTTTCAATGACTCGCCACATGCCTGAGCGTGTGTGGTCCATCGCTACCCCACTCTTGAACTATACCCGCCCCAGTGAAGGAAAGCTTAACTTATGTTAGCTTTACTCGAGGGATGATCCCACCCTGTGTAATCACATACCTGGTTGGTGGTGACGGAACATGGCTGGATTATGACTTTCCATTCAGTTGGGAATTTCATCATCCCATTTGACTTTCATATGTTTCAGAGGGGTAGGTCAACCACCAAACAGATATGCTTGGCGGACCTGGCGGAAAAAATACTTTACTTCGTGTAAACCCCACCATGACATTTATACATTTTCTTACTGGCAAAACTTCTGGCATTCTATCTGACATATCTTCTGACATATTATCTGGCAAATCTTCTGGGCTTCTATCTAGCATATCTTCTGGCATATTTTCTGGCAAATCTTCTGGCATTCTATCTGGCATTCTATCTGGCATATCTTCTGGCATATTATCTGGCATATCATCTGACATTCTATCTGGCATATCTTCTGACATTCTTTCTGGCATATCTTCGGACATTCTGTCTGGCATATCTGCTGATATTCTTTCTGAATTCTTTCTGGCATTCTATCTGGCATATCTTCTGACATTCTATCTGACATCTTTTCTGACATTCTTCCCGTTGAGGTCCGGCAGTGCCCACTGCGATCTGGAAGTCGCGGTTGAGGTCCGGCAGTGCCCACTGCGATCTGCAACTCGCGGTTGAGGTCCGGCAGTGCCCACTGCGATCTGGAGCTCGCGGTGGAGGTCCGGCGGCAGTGCCCATGGGATCTGGAGCTCGCAGTTGAGGTCCGGCAGTGCCCACTGCGATCTGGAAGTCGCGGTTGAGGTCCGGCAGTGCCCACTGCGACCTGGAAGTCGCGGTTGAGGTCCGGCAGTGCCCACTGCGATCTGCAACTCGCGGTTGAGGTCCGGCAGTGCCCACTGCGATCTGCAACTCGCGGTTGAGGTCCGGCAGTGCCCACTGGGATCTGGAGCTCGCGGTGGAGGTCCGGCTGTGCCCACTGGGATCTGGACTGCGAGGAGGAGGCGGCGGGTGAGGAGGCGGAGGAGGCAGAGGAGGCGGAGGAGGCGGAGGAGGAGGAAGAGGAGAACAGCTCTGATAAAATCTAACAACCCTCACCTGGCAGGTGGGAAAAACATACGTCATGGCCTTGGACCGTCCAGCTAAACACAAAAGAGCTCTGATGGTAGGGGTCCTCGTAAGTCAGCGTGATTTAAACAGTTAGTGATAATTTGATATACGATAGTGATTTACTGCTTGCTACACCACTATAGTTGACTATATTCAAGTCATTGTTGAAAACGATACGATACTATAGGTACGATACTATACAGTGGAATGACTCTGGGGATGGGTACACGATGTACAGTGGGGAGCCTCCAAGCAGCCAGGTATGTTTGCCATCAAGAAGACCGGCGAGGTGGTACCAATTGGTACTATTGCAAATCCACCAGATCACATCATTGAGGACGAGTTTCGAAGTCGCTCGGTGACCAAAAAATACCAATCTATTCACTGAGGGAAAATTGACTTCGATGATATCTTCTGGATTTCTTACTTCCACAAGAATACCAAAGACAAGCGCTTTGGAACTTGATCACATCTTCTGCATTTCTTTTGTATATCGGGGTATTTATGACCCAGGAACCATGGATACCGGATAATCGCAGCAGAGCCTTATTGTGGGAAAACTGGCGAGCCCCCGAAGTAGTTGATGTGAGGTTTTGGCCATGGATGACACCAGTGAAAACATGTGAAAATACGTAAAAACCATCAGAAATTGTCATGATTCCAAGTATGTTCCTAATATGCCTACTCTTGGTGAAATGTGTACTGCTGATTCCTAATACCAAATAAATAAATAAATATACATATATATATATATATTCCTAATGCAGAAATTGGTGAAGGCTATATTGATCCCCACCTACAACCATCACATAATGAAACTGCGGCTATTGCGGTCAACCATGGTGGACATGGTTCATATTCCTACCGTTGGTCATATCGACATCTTCGTTTGTCAAATCCGTTCTTTTTGTGAGTGTGAAGTTGGTTGGTGGTTTGGAACATTTTTTGTTTTTCCATATATTGGGATAGTAACCTCAATTGACCAATTGACTAACATTTTTCAGAGGGGTAGGTCAACCACCAACCAGTTTGTGTTTTCAGTTCTCATTTCCAGAATCCTGGGTTTCTTATTTTTTGTCGGTTGGGAACCTCCATGGCTTCTTGGGTATACCCTCCTTGATTTGAGTGCCGAATATGCCGAATGATGTCGTGGTTTCACCATGGTTTTCGCCCTCATCTCCCAGCATCCCAGGACACCAAAAAAACCGGACGCTTCGAGGTAGTGGATCTATTTCTCACGATAGTTCTAGGGGCCCGATATAATCACCATATGCCAACATGGGGGTTTAGTTCACTGACTAATATTTTTCAGAGGGGTAGGTCAACCACCAACCAGTTCACCATGGTTATACCATGGTGCTATGAAAGTAACCTCTGGTCTCCACCCCCTAGGCCCTCTCCCGGTGTCCCTTAGGTGGTGTGGTGGACGTGGTGGGCAATGGAAACAGCTTCGCCCTGCTGAAACGCACCCTGTAGGGCTGGCGCCACGTTGCTTGGACGTCGGAGATGACTTGGACTTGTATACCAGTACTGGTTGGTGGTTTGGAACATGGCTGGATTATGACTTTCCATAGATTGGGAATTTCATCATCCCAACTGACTTTCATATTTTTCATAGGGGTTGAAACCACCAACCAGAGTAGTGATACGTCTGAGTCACTGAATTGATGTATCCTACTTCTATATGAATGAATGTATTGAAACATGTTGAAACTACATGTATACCTATAATAGCTATATATGTATATATAACTATATAACTATATAACTATATTGTACATGTGTAATATCCAGATTAATGTGTGTAAAACTGTATGGATGGCCAACAATACAAAACACATCAGTAGTATGTGGCCAATGGGGCCATTGTCGTTGGATTGGTGTACAGTGTACCTGTTCACAGCAGCTAGGAATGGTTTGAACGTTTGAACTATGTTGTCCGTTTTCATACTAGATGGAAATGATGGAAAAGGTTTTAGAGCCTAAGTTGCTTCAAAGTCGGTGGGTGATATCCAGCAGCTGCGATGTTTGAACCTTTCATAGGGGCGGCAAATCATTGAACTATGTTAGTTTTAAACAACAGCAAGTTCCGCTCGTGTTTTTTCCCCACCTGCCAGGTGAGGGTTGTTAGATTTTATCAGAGCTGTTCTCCTCCTCCTCCTCCTCCGCCTCCTCCTCGGCCTCCTCACCCGCCGCCTCCTCCTCGCAGTCCAGATCCCCAGTGGGCACTGCCGGACCTCCACCGCGAGCTCCAGATCCCCAGCGGGCACTGCCGGACCTCAACCGCGAGTTGCAGATAGCAGTGGGCACTGCCGGACCTCAACCGCGACTTCCAGGTCGCAGTGGGCACTGCCGGACTTCAACCGCGACTTCCAGATCGCAGTGGGCACTGCCGGAGCTTAACCGCGACTTCCAGATCGCAGTGGGCACTGCCGGACCTCAACGGGAAGAATGTGAGAAGATATGCCATATAGAATGTCAGAAGATATGCCAAATAGAATGCCAGAAGATATGCCAGATAGAATGCCAGAAGATATACCAGATAGAATGCCAGAAGATATGCCAGATAGAATGCGAGAAGGTATGCCACATAGAATGCCAGATAAAATATCAGATAGACTGCCACAAGATATGCTAGATAGAAGCCCAGAAGATTTGCCAGATAATATGCCAGAAGATATGCCAGATAGAATGCCAGAAGATATGCCAGAACATCTGCCAGAAGATATGCCAGATAGAATGCCAGAAGACATCACAGAAGATATACCAGAATATATGCCAGAAGATATGCCAGAAGATTTATTTGTCAGATAGAATGCCAGAAGATTTGCCAGTAACAAATCGATAAATGTCATGGTGGTGATCACTCGAAGTAAAGTAATTTTTTGCATGCTTTTGATGGTTTCCCAAAACAGTTCCGACTTTGCGTTGCTGCCGCCTCCAAATCTAACTCGTTTAATAGCATCCATGCTGCAGTTGGTCCTGTGGTGCTTTATGGGTCTTTATGGTTTCATGTTCAGACCCATTGCCCTACCTGTAGTGTGTAGTATAGCTATACACAGCTATCTTTTCTGGTACCGAACATGAGCACACACATTTTAAACCTCCCAAGTCCTCATCATCATCATCATCAGCCTATCCCAATGATAGATGCCCGCATCATATGGCCATTATGGCCCCAAAGATCCAGATCCTGATCCACTCCACCTCCATTGGGGTTTCGGGCTTAACGGGATGATACCCACCAAAAAACCATCTACTTTTCCTGGAAAAACATCAATAAGGACCCAGGAAAATACAGACCCAACTCCCCAACTCCCCACTTCTTTCAGGTTCATCACAATGATTCCAGCGGCGAAATCCGGCGCTCCTCAATCGCTGGATCGCTGCTTCAAAACTGGCGACGATCGGTTGAAAAAGAAACATGCGGTTGACTTCCTGGGGTCACCAGATGTGTACAATGTGAGGCCCCCCAGTTATAAGTTGGTTTATAAGCCCCAGTAACTATAGTTATAAGTACCATAAACCAAAGTTATTGGAGTTATAAACCAACTTAGCTATCTTGGGGGCCTCACATTGTATATATATATATATATATGGGTAATTAACCATTTATAGTAGATCAATGTGTATATATATATATATATATGTCTATATATATATAATATTTCCCTGTTTGGAAAGGACAACTCAAAAAATCTGGTTCAACATTGGTGTATGAAACAGATAGCTCTCCAGCATTTTGAACAGGACCCATCCTCTGCGGATGGTCCCATCCGACCAGCTTTTCGATGGGGTGACTTCGAAAAAATATCGTACAACCCATATAGTAAACCCATAGAAAACCATCTAACCAAGCCATAGTAAAGCTATATATATATATAAATATATACTAGTCATATCATCCAACATAGTTGAATGTCGAAAAAATATAAACACTACTATAGTAAAACTGTAGTTATAATCGCACTTAGTTGACGCGTTGAACATCCAACATGACGCTGCCGGATTGGATCCGTTCTCGAGCAAAGGTTGGGGTATATTAAACTAAATCAAGGGATGCAGGTTGTTTTGATGGGTAACATCTGATGATGATGATTATTATTATTATTATCATGATGATGATGATGACAAGAACTATAAACCCCCATCATCATTGTCATTTGATCGTCCGGAAACTACAATCAACCAAGTTGAGTTTGCACCCTAGATAAATTTGTAATCAATTGCAATAATATTTGCCAACAATTATACTGTAAATGGTATACATAAAATATCATAAAATTCATAAACTATATTAGCAACCCCCAAAAAAAATAGAAACATAGAATCCTGCCTTAAGATCGTGGACAATTTGAACCAATTTTCTGCTTTGGGGGTACTATACAAGAAACATCAACCACTTTGTAGCCCAGATAATTCCATCCGCAGATGGGAGATTTGCTGCGTCCTGCAGCGACGTGGATCGCTGGGTCGTCGAGGCGACAGTGACCGACAGTGACCGGTGACGGGTGACGACTTCGCCAGCAACAGATTTGGGATCCTGGTCGGTGGTTCCAAACATGGACATCATTTTCCATCATATATGGGATAATCATCCCAACTGACTTTCATATTTTTCAGAGGGGTTGAAACCACCAACCAGGATCATAAACCACCGAAAATTGTGGATCTAACCAAGAGACATTGGCATTTGAGCAACATCAGTGAGGTGACATGATTTAACCAATCGAAACTTGAAATTCGCCATCAAAACTGGGATATGTCAATCTTTCACAATGAATGGGTGATGACTCCCCCGAAACTATGGCAACTTCACCACGAAAAGTTTGGATTCAAGCTTGGATTGATGCTGAATTATTAGGGGCAGACCATGGCAGACCACTAATAACGACCTGGGCCTTCATGGCATATCAGCCTCAGTTACCATCCTAACTTCCAGGATCTTGGGCGTTAGCATTGGCATGCATCATGCATGGGCAGGAATTTCTGGTTGTGGTTCCAGACGTTTAAATGTACCCTTTGGCAAACAAACATAGCTATTGAAAATGGCCATTATGTATCTTTAAAATAATTTTTGCAATTCATAAACTGATTTTAACATATTACTAGTGAAACAAGATACCACATGTCTACCTTGGTTTTGCATCAGATGTAGACCCAGAGACGCAGCGATTTTGTCCCGCATTCAAGTATTCAATGTATTCAATGTTTCGGAGCCATCATCATCGAGGACTCAAAATAGGGTTGATGATGTTGGACGAAACTCCATCTGTGTTGGCTTATTCAAACAGGTTTGAAAGAAGTGACATCCAACTTGATCTTAGCAAAATCTCAGTTTGTGTGCCCTCTTCCATATATCGTTTGATCTCAATCTAATCCCATCTAATATGTTGATGATTTTTTCAATATCGATATTGTATATATAATTCATAGTGTATTATTTAATATATATATATTATATACATATTTGTTGTTTTCCCGAGTTAGACCAATCACGGTGCAAGTGCTAAGCCTCTGGAAGTCTTGTGTCTCGACAGGTGGGGCTCCCAAGGGGCGATTGTTTCACTGGTTGGTTATGATCAATGGTTCACCATGATTCACCATTAACCAGAGATTTCAATGATTAACCAATTATGATAATTCACCAAGAATTCACCAGATATTTCAATTATTCACTATTATTAACTAGGTATTTCTCCATTAACCAGGTATTCTCTATTGAAACCACCAACCAGTTGAGCTTAACTTCTTCTTGACACCGCTCGATCTGGGACCCCTGGGACCGATCTGGGACCCCTGGGAGGTCGCGCAAGCGTCCGTCTGGAGATGAGGCGGAGAAATCCGCGTTTGATCTGTGGAAAACAACGTTTGTACAGGATGGGGCCCCCAGTCGATAGCGTTCAGTTGCCTAATAAAAGTGGCTGAATTAACTATGGTTTATGGTAGATATTTCACGAGCTAGTATTCATGGGGCTTATAATGGTTTATAAACCAACTGATAACTGGGGGGGCCCATCATGTAGATGATTCCCCATTTCATACTCAGACGTTTTTGATCAAATGATATTTGATGAAACAAAGGATCTTTCGCTAAATCTATGGATATATATCTATTGACGTTTCACGAGCATTTTTTTAAACTCCATATATATATATATATATGAGCAGGGACCCCCACACCCCCCCCCACCCAGCCAGATGGTTCCCCCCCCCCTGTGGCAGGGGAGGGGGGGTTTTCTCAGCAGCCAAGCCATGGTGTATGTAGTCTTTATAGTGCATGTAATGTATATGTATCGATAATTAGAATGGATATACTATATGCAATATAGAGTGTATGTGTAGTGTATATATATAAACATATATATATAATATGTAAGATATAAATAGAATATATGCAATCTATATATCTTTATAATATATATATATTTGACATATATATATTGAACATATATATATATATATATACATCGTATATGTGGTTTTTGATAGAATATAGATAGTATATGCCACATGTACTGTATCCACAGTAGATGTAATATATACAATATAGGTAAATATGTTCGTTGAATAAATTTTACATAGTATATGTGGTATATTGAATATCGACAGCAATACACGCTGTATATCTAGAGTTTATGTATATATATGTATATATATATATGCATATATATATACATATATATATATATATATATACGTGTACAGTATGTACAATGTAAACGAAATATGTGATAGATACAAGATCAAGATATCAATCTGTAGTATCTAGAATGTGCATATATATATATATTTATTGTTTTTCTACTGTACATATGTCTAGGTTTGCATAGGTAAGCTTTGCGTAATCCATAGGTAGCAAATATGTTGTAAACCATGTGCGAGGCACGCTATAGGCGGTTCGAAAAAAAGGTTATGATAGAAATATACAGGTAGACAAGGTCCGTTGACGAGGTCGTGGCTCTCAAGTGCTGCAAATAACGTAGAGATGCGAGGTTGGAGGGGTGGAAAGGGGAGTATATATGTGTATATGTGTATGTATATGTGCAAATAACATGCAAATACTAGGTTTTGGGGGGGTGGGGGGGTTAGGAGTGGGGGGGGGATACCATTGGGGGGTGTGGGGGTCCGGGGACCGGGCTCATATATATATATATATATATATATACTGTTCCTGTTGTGATCGGACAGGCGTATATATAGGAAATTGAAAGTACCCAAGCTGTCAGAAACGGTTGATCTTTTCTCTGACAGCTGTTCAAGTGGCAGGTTTTTGTACAGCTGTTGCAACAAGGATTTGTTTTACCAAGACTGGATGATAGAGGGAGCAACATGGGGGCATTAGCATACATTAGCAACAACACAAAACTCAATTCTATATAATTCTGAGTTTTGTCCTCTGTCACCTGCATCATGGTGTTTTTTCCAATCATTTCCAATCTAAGGGGTGGCAATTTCACCATATTTCACCATCAGCCCAGCAAGTGGAGGCCTGATAGCGCACCTGGAAAGGATCAGTTTTTTCTTTGTGCTGTTTCACCGTTTAAAAGGCTTGTCATATCAAGCTCTTGAGTCACCTGCATCCAATTTTAAGGTGATGAGCAGTGATGGGTTTTTTTCTAAATTTACGTGGCCAGAGATCGCCTACCCGTCTTCGCCGCTCCAAGACCTCTGTGGACGCTTTCCGTGTCCAGGGGTGAGACCGGCCAGTGGCGAGAACGGTGGGGTTTCGGTTGACCAAAAATGGAGCAATAAAGGATCAGATGTTCAAAGCAAGTCTATTGATAGCAAGCGTCAGAAAAAAACTTCATGTCAGATTTAAGAGTTTGTTTGGATAACAATTCTTCGAACTTCAAACAGATACGAAAGAAATGAGATGCGATGAATATTTCAGGCTCTCACATGCTGATTGACACGCTGCTTCTCCCCATGGCGATTGGGTCAAGAAGTGGCACTGGCCATGAAATGGTCAGTGCTGCTGGTTGTTTGTCGCTCGGTTGCTGGGCTGGTCGGGATCACCATCACCCTGAAACACGAAGCAAAGAACCCGAAACAGGACCGAAATTCAAACACTGAACTTGGATTGTTTTTTCTACCATGTGGTAATATCAACGAAAAACATATTGCAGCACTGAATAGAAGATGTTTGCTCCTCTGATTGGTTTGCTTGATTTAATGCATGTATGTTATATATGTTTCCATTTTCTGAACAGTGCCCGGCCGCGATTTGGCGGGCCAATCCCCATAAAATTCTCAGCTTGGCCCTCATGGGCTGAAGCCTGGATCAACGTGACCATGGCCTTCACGCTGGGAGTGGCGTTTATTGCTTGGCAAATGTCACATCCCTTATGATTTCCCAGAAATCCCCAAAAGTGACACAATTATTATATATACAAACTACATATCCCAATAATATATCATAACATCTGTATATATGCATATAAAAATATATACACACATTGGTTGGCAGAGTTCCTGTATATTCATGTTATTTCCCATTTCGTGGTGCATAACATGCGCACATGATCCTTCCTTCATGTCCTCGTCCACCAAGGCGAAGTCGTTGCCTATCGTCCTGAACTTCCGCCGCAGCTGACAGTGGAAGCTCCACCATGTCGTCAAGTGGAGGTCCAGGAGCTTTGCCGCCTGGCAGGGTGGGCCATGATGGGTGTCTGATGGGTGCGTCATCAGTGGTTTATTGCTGAACCTGTTGGGTTGATGATTTTCCAGAACCTGGTTGGTGGTGACTGGAACATGGCTGGATTATGACTTTCCCATCATATTGGGGATTTCATCATCCCAACTGACGAAGTCATATTTTTCAGGAGGGGTTGAAACCACCAACCAGGAACATGTCTGACTGAATCTGGATGAATTTGGCAATAAATCAAATACTATGAAAATTGTAGAGTATGGTAATGACTGGTAATGAAGCAAACCCAATGATTAAACAATCCCCAATCCGGGGGTTTCTGAAGATGAGTGTACCCAGATAACTGGCATGAATTTTATGATGACTCTCTTTTTCTAAAATGGTTTAAAAGGCGATTGTTTACCACATTAAAAGAACATGTGAATTAATGTTTTTCAAACATTGGTTTTATGGTGTGTGGGACATCATGCGGTAAAGCCACACAGCAGAAGCAAACTATTGTCCAAGAGTTGGGCATCCATAGATCATCATAGATCCATTGGTCAATCAGTTACCCTCTGGTTATGACTAACATAGCCATGGTATAGATGGCCCATAGAAATAGATGGTTTACCTGGGTTTACCTATTAACAATTGGGATTTCCATGGCTATGTTAAATAACCAGATGGTAATCATCATTGTCCCATTGCTTTTGATAGGTGTCTATTTGGGGTATAGTGGGAATATACTGGCATATATCATGCTTAAACCAATTTATCGAGCAGAATTTTCCATCAGTTTCCTTATGAACAAATGAACAAATGGCCTTTTGAACGGAGCTGCCTGGTCGCGTTTTGCACACCGATCTCGCTTTTCTGCATCTCGCCACCGAGGTGAGGTGAAATTGGAAGCGCAGGAATGCAGCTTGGGCGGTGAAGAAATCAGCGCAGGGTGCTTTTTCTGGCCCCCCTTCAGTGATTTCGGTGGGCTTCGGCTTGCTTTCACCAATCTAGCTACGAATTATATAGGTGTAGTTATATGCTTATATATGCATGATGTATCCATCATAAACCACATAAGTCGCCAAGTTACTTCAACCATATACAGCCCCTCGGCCCCTCGGGTTAACCTGGCGTGCCATGTTCGAGTACCAGAGGGTGACCCACCAACTAAGTGATACCACATGTATCTAGATTGTATACATATGTATACAAATTGTGGGAATGTGATTCAGCGATTAACAAGGAAAAATGTGAATCAGATATGTTTTTTCCCAATTGGTTGTTGAAGACATAACAGAATACAACAGATTAATATGGTCCTTGGGACCAAGCAATTTCTCGCAAAAAAGAAAACAAACCATGGCAATGTGAGCCCCCCCAGTTATGTTTGTTGGTTGATAAACCCCATGAATACTAGTTCGTTTTCTAGGTATCATAAACCATAGTGTTTCATGGGAGTTATGTTCAGCAACTGAACGCAATCGTTTATCTTGGGGGCCTCACATTGTATCATAGAGTACTGCAGAGTAGCCACCAGCAACGTCACTCACCCACCATCGCCCCAGGTCTCCACGTGACCGACATCGCCCCGCGGGGCAGGTTCCGCGGGCGCAGCGGTGCGCGGCGCGGCAAGGGCGCCTCAAGCGCCAAGTGCGCGTTGCAAGGGCCTGAGGAGGTGGGGAAAGTTGGAAAACGGGTTACCTATAGGACATAACCAACAGACCACTCAATACAATTGAGGGGAAACTAAACATAACAAGTATGAATACTAGCAGTGGAATCATGTGTTAGCATTCAGTGAAATAGTCAGCATGTTTTTTTGAAGAACTAAACAAAGAAATGTTATGTAATGTTGAAATAGAGTTTTTTGAAATACCACCGGGAGTTTTCTCTACAAAATCACAACGGTTGACCACTGCACAAAGGGATTTTGTAGTCGAGCCATGTTATGGAGATTTGACTGTTTCACCAACATCAGCAACATCAGGACGAGGTCAGCGTGTTGATGTGACGAGCGTTGAAATGCGTTGAATGTTTTCAACAATGGGGATTTAACAAACAGAAATTGGTGAATTTCAACATGTTGATTGGATGGGTTGAACAGCATTGCACAGCACCATCCAGCATTGCAGCCACAATCAGCGCGGGATAGAACCTCAACTGGCAAATGATGGGATATCATCCCAGTAGAATAATTTGAGAACCTGGGATGGCGTCTGGCAAGTGGGGTAGCGGTATGAAATCTCACACACATAGTCAGGAGTATGCAAGCCTGCAACGATTCCTTGAAGGATCAGTTGGGTTAGATCCCGGATTTGGAGTTTCAGTTGGTGATTGCTTCAGCAGGATTGATCGCTCGGCTGGCTTCTTGTGGTCCATCCAGCCCGTGTTCAATCCACCCTATACAGTCCTGAGGTGTTTGGTGTGGAAACCTTTTTTGTGAGGCAGTTGGGATTCTGTTGCCCTCAATTTATTCAAACCATCATTTTGTCAAGGTACTTTCCTGCTGTTTGTTTTGTTTCTTTAAAGCTTTCAGGTAAACCGTGGTTAGGTAGAACACTTTTTTTTTGCCATCAGAGTATATACTGCCCAGCTATACCTTTTTGGTGGGTATCAAAGATTAGCCAACATTGATGGCTGAAAGCGCCATACCATTCGAACTTGAAGCACGAAAGCTTGGACATAGCTGCAAAACATGCAATTTTTGATGGTAGCAATGGAATAGACACTGCTGCAACATACTTAGATGGGCCACGCTGTTAGTCAACTGGTTAGCCTTATATTTTTTTCCCAAAAGCATCTCCGATGCTTGGGTTCTCGTTTAGTTGCACTCACCGCGGGGGAGCGAGACTGAGTGTTCGACGGAGATGTATTGGACGGAAGGAAGGAGGAAGGAAGGAAGGGACTGAAGGGACGGAAGGGAAGG